ATAAAGACATTATTGATAATTACAGGATTAAATTGGCGGCATAAAGCAGGTTGGAAACGGAAAAAAAAGAAACTTCTGCTTACAATACTGAATGCTAACTCTCTTTCACACACACAGACGCACACACACACAGTGCTGAGCTCCATTGCTTAATTGAATTTGGCCCTTTTTTCACCCCATTTAGTGTACGAGCAGTGTTAATGAATCTAAGTGAGACTGTGGCTGCCGCCATTATAAATAGCCTGTGATGGCTTTCGGTGAATTTGATATTTTTACCATTATGTTCATTCATGTTTTTGCTTTATGCTGCGCGTTTGAGACACTTAAAAAGACAATTTTCCAGCCTCACTGCAAAGAGGCTTTTAGCAGGGTATAATTACTTTGCACTGAAAAGGGCATAAGCAGCATCTAGATGCTCTGCCTGCAAATTAATATTCACAACAACAATCTTAAAGTTTCCTGGTAATGGAATAAATGCATTTTGCCAGTTGAGCCCATTTGCTTCCACCACTATTGAGGACTCTTTTTAAAACCCATAAGTAGTGCAGAAATGTATTAAATCAGATGTGAATGTGATGATGAGCCAGGTCCACTGCACATATGTTAGCTACACTCGTTAGCTAGAGGAAAAAAACATTAGCTGTTGTAGGCCAACTTTGAGCAGCGAGCTTGGCCGATCTCCACTCTGATAATGTTTAGTTCTGTTTAGGAGCCAATAGTTACTCTTAAGGGGCTTTTTATTAACCATTGAAGCGTTTCAGTATGGATGACAAAGTGCCATTATCAGGAAAATAATTTTTTCAAATGGCTTAATGAAAGTAACCATTGAACTCAATATGATGAGAAAGTAATGAAAGAATGAATCCATGCTAAAATAACTGTATGGAGGATTAGCTGAATACATATAGAAAGAAATAAAATATATCAAACTAAAAATTTGCTGAAAACCAGTTTGATCCCATGAATACATCTTAAACATAACCAAGATTTTTAAAAAGCAGTCTTAAATAGAAAATAGCGCAGAAAAAGCACAAAAAACATGTTTCACATTCTATTAGTTCCATCTATGATCATATTTAAATGTCTCATTAAGTTTATACATTTTGTGTTTTGGCAGGTTTAGGCTTCCGTATCGCACAAGTAGACCTGCATACAAAATAAATGCTGTAGAAGGAAATGTGAATCTTATTGATTCATGCCTGTGGCAGGTTTAGGCCTCCATAGATTAAGTCTAAGGTTGCAAAGATAACAACACCATTTTAATGGAAAGTTTAAAAGGTGGAAATGAGATTCTGTGCTCTCACAGCTGCAGACGAGCACAGAGTTAAGGTTAGAACACAAGTGCACGCCCACCTGTGCACGCCATGAGAAGAAAACCCAATAAAAGCACTTAACCTCCCAAATGGCTCTGGTAAAGGATTTTAAATTTGAAAAGGAGAATATAATTAAAGACTTCGCCTCCACTGGCTATTCCTTAAAATACTTAATTTCCAAGCAAATTTAACAGCCAAGACACACTTTTACTTTCAACCACGGTTACTAGAACTTCAAACGTTTGCTGGTTTATTTTTAAGCATTTCGCTCATTAGGTTTTATCATCAATGGTGTTTAGATCACAGATTTATTTATCTATGAGGATGAGAGCACAGGGTGCATTCTCCAACCCACTGATGAATCAATCTGAAATTGAATAAAGCTTTAAAGAAGGACCACTAAAGCAAATCCAGGCTCATTTGTACTTTGTTGATTCCCATCAGTCACTTTTTAAAGACACAGACAGTGTCTCAGAGATTCCTTGTAGTTTAGCAGAAGCAGAAAATAAGTTATTTGGTTTGTTTGGAGGCTCCAGCACCAGCCTGCTGAAGCTCAGGAGGCCCTGATTCCTCTAAGAGAGTAAACGCAGCTTTATTCTGCCCACTAACGCATTCACAGACCAGGAGGGAAACAATGGAGCCCTACGCCCGGCGCCTGGTGGAAGGATTACTCTCATTCCCCTTTCCGAACATTTCCTCACGTCTCCCTAAACTGCTCAGCGATGCCGCCGAGCTGTCCGTGGCTCTGCCCGAGGGAAAATATCTATTATCCCCCTCTCCCTCCCCCCGCCTTGTTTTTCTTGCCAGGCAGAGGAATAAACGCTCAACGATCCGGGGCTTTCACCTCTACTCTGATAAAGGTTATCTCGGCAATTTAGAGCTGGCGATATCGCATTATGGAGAGAGTTATGAGGCGGAAATCAAATTTAGCTCCCAGCGACTGTAAGGGGAGGAAGGATGAGAGGTGCATGGGACTCTAATGATATGGAGGAAGTGCTGGGTCGTCCTCTTCTGCTCTACTCTTCACAGGAGCGGACGCTCTGGAGTGAAATGTTCCTCCATTCTACCGGTCAGCGGAGAGCTCCGGCCAAACCCGACATACACGCCAAACCCTGCTAAATGAGTGTGAACTCACCAGGTGTGACACAAACGCAGAGAGCAGGTTCAGCCCCGGATGAGGGCTGCTGGGCCTCATGCATCTGAAACTATTCTGCTCCTCTCTGATGTGCTGCACGGCCTCCCTCCCTTTGGAGAAACCTGCTCTTTAAAGAACATGGCGGCTTTCAAGAAGCTGTGTTCAGGACCTAGTCAATTTAAGGCATCATATTCAACTTTTTGCTCATATTGTAATGTTTACTGGACCTACACCGTCTTAATTAGGGCACAGTAGGAGAGCATTCATTACTTATGTCCACCATGTTGCTAATAACTGGACCTTGAAGCACATATTTGTACTTTTAAAGGCCCTGAAAGGTGCACTGTTCCCAAGTAGATGTACAAATGACCAGGATGCAAAAGCAGAACCTCCACTGTACCACCCCAAAGTCCACAATTAGGTGCTTTCTTTTCTAAGAGTGGGCCAAAAAATCCATAATACATAGATTCCCTAACAAAAAGCCATCTCCAGGCACTTTACATACAGAAAACAAATAAATCAACACCCCCCCCCCCGAGCATGCGGCTGGAAACCTCCAGGAACCATTTATCTACTCCAATGTCCCCAGTTCTGAGCATTCATCTTGAAAACTGGATGAAAAAGGGAAAAATAAAGAGTGCATGTGGCTCCTCTCTCCCACAGCTGCTGTAAAAGCCCTGACTGTACAGACATCCCTCCCAAATAAAGCCGATAACTCACGGGGAGCGACGCCTGCGTCCCCCCGGCAGGAAATTAGAGGAAGGCTTTACTACGAGGGCACCCCCCCCCCCCCCCCCCCCCGTTTGTCACATACATTATCACTCTGTTGTATTCACAGTTTCCCCGGCTTCCTGCAGAGCGGGGGCCACGTCGCAGCAGCGCTCGCCGTGCCAAAGGGTTGCCATGACGATGAGGGTTTTGTATTCAACAATTATGACAAAACTTGGAGCTGCAGGTTGTTTGCTGAACAATGTGACGCCGGCTGCTCAAACCAGGCTAACTAACCCCCCCCCCCGAACTGTTATTAACTGAACACACACGTTTCTGCGTTCAGACTGGAGGAAAAGCCGTCAGCATGGGGGGGGGGGGGGGGACATCTGACTCCTGACAGCCCAGTTTGGTTTCACATCCAAACAGCACAGATTTGTCAATTTTTGCCTTAAAGGAGACTGCAGATGTTTGTGTAACAAATTAAAATTCCACTTTTTTGTTTTATTGATGCTTTGATCGGGTTGTCTGGCCTAACCACCAGTTGGAGTTACTTCCTGTTCAGAGGGAGTTGTTTCTTCCCACAGTCATCTCCTGCGTGTTCAGTACAGAGATTAAATCCGAGATTATCTGCAATCTTCTGGTTTCCTTTCAAAGAACCTTTTCCTTTTTAAAACTGGATCTGAATGAACTTAGCTTTTAATGACCTGAACCGAGTGGATTATGACTAATTGGCATGACTTCATCGTTTCATTTGAAGTGCCTGGAGATGACTCCTGTTGCGTTTTGGTGCTTTATGAATAATCCTGAATAAAGCTGAAGAGTTCTCGCGCACGTCACCGACTCCTCAGACGTTTAAATGCGGATCTTTCGCACTCGTTCCGCTTTGCGGCTCCTTTATGGCTCATTCTCTTCTCCAAGGGATATATTAGCAGAGATATATGAAACAATAGAATCTAAAATTAGACTGAAATGAGAATGCTTTCCTCCAGAGCCTCAGAAGATAAAACAGAGTGGGATGCTGGGACGAATGAGTGCAGTCAGTTTCCACCTCCATTATGAACCAATAACAGCCCACAATTCCAGAGAGTGGAAGCATTGTTTTTATTTATTCGTTTGTTTTATATGGACCTACTAAGTCAAATGAGTGACATCTGTATTTAGCCTTTTTGTTCACCAGTTAACACCTCTTACAGCAGTCGTTAGCGGGCTGGAGGAGGAAAACCTGATGAGCTGCTCTGGTCCTAAAGAGGCTCACCTGCCACCGGCTGGACACACACACTCCAACACACACTCCACTCAGCTCAGATGCAGGAAATATCCGTTTAAAGCCAGCGTCCTTAAACTGCAGGCCATTAACAAGCTGGTTAAATCCTTTTCCATTTGCCAGTGGCGCCGCTAACAGGCCCAGCCCCCCCCCCA